CTACACAAAGAAAAACTTAGATTATTCAGAGTACTTAAAGAAAGAAAACATGATCAAAACTTAAGCCTTGAGTATAAAATCGTTTCAAGAAATCTGAAAAAACAACTAAAAATTCACCATAACACTAAGGAAGAAAAAATAATTAATAAAGGTGGAAATTCGATACATAAGTTTATTAGAAACAGACTTACCCAAGATAATAACATACCCTGTTTAATTGATAAGGAAAATAAATTTTACTTCAGTAATGAAGAAAAATGTAATATTTTGGGCAAAGAATTTCAAAAAAACTTCCAAAATAAAAATATTAACATATCAAATTGTAACAGAAATATAAGTCCAAAAACAAAATTTTCAGACATAGAGTTAAATACTAACATTGTGTGGGACGTCCTTAGATCACTTCCTGGCCGCAATTCAACTTCTCCGGATAATATTCCCTATATACTACTAAAATATTGCGCCGACCCACTTGCAAAATTAGTCACAGATATCTTTAGATGTATTATTGATAATGGACAAATTCCATCAATTTGGAAATCCTCGCTTATTATACCATTATATAAAAAGGGAGAAAAATCAGATCCAAAAAATTATCGTCCAATATCGCTAACATGCACATTATGTAGAATTTTCGAAAGAATTATTGCACAACAATTAACAAAATTCTTAGAAGATAATAAGTTCTTTAATAAAAATCAATTTGGATTTCTTAAATCAAGATCCACAACCACACAGTTGTTATCTACCATGGATGATTTTTATAACGCAATACAAGATGGATATAACATAGATATTATTTATATCGACTTTGCTAAGGCTTTTGACACTGTACCAATAAATATTCTTTTAGATAAATTAGAAAAGGCAGGCATAACCGGAAAAGTTTATGCATTTCTTAAAAACTTCATATCAGATAGGACTTTTAAGATTAAGATTGGTGACCAACTATCTCACAATTATGAAACATTTTCGGGCGTACCTCAAGGAAGTGTCTTAGGACCACTTTTATTCCTTATTTTTATAAATGATCTTCCTAATGAAATCCCTGAAGATGTTGGAGTAAAACTATACGCAGACGATGTAAAACTATATATAGCTCATAAAAACGGCATAGAAAGAGAACAACTCAATAATGTTTTAAGAATACTTGAAAAATGGACAGAATTAAATGGTTTAGAAATATCCCCTAGCAAATGCTTTGCTTTATATCTAGGTAAAAATAACATGAAAAGAGAATATACCATACATGGATTAAAAGTACAAGAAACAGAATGTATTCGTGATCTTGGAATATTAATTGATTCAAAAATATCATTTAACAATCATATAAATATGATCATAAAAAACGCATATTTAAAAAGCTCCCAAATAATAAGAATCATTAAATCTAGAAATTTAAATCTCCTCGTTAATATATATAAGACATATATAAGACCCCAACTAGAATACGCAACTGAAGTATGGAATCCACAGATGAAATATCAAATAGAGAAAATTGAAAAAATCCAAAAACTATTCACTAAAAATATTTACAAAAAATGTGGTTTAATCAAGGTCCCATATGAAGAAAGATTAAATACTTGTAAACTCGAAAAGTTATTAGATAGAAGAAAGGTTGCCGATCTGTCCACCGCCTTTAAAATTATAAAAGGTTTTACATCCCTTAATTCACAAAAATATTTTAATTTATCAAATAGATCCCTTCGCAGGCCTCTACTTCTTAGGACAAAAAAATATACAAATAAAACAAAAAATAATTTCTTTCACAGAGTGGTGAATAACTGGAATAATCTTCCAAATGAGCCATTTAAAATAAATGATCCGAAAAAATTTAGAAGTCTCATTAAACAGTATTCTATAAAATACTAAGGACATTAAACCCTAGCGTGCGTGGTTTTCGAGTGTTTGTTTACTATTTATATATATTTTTTTTTCATGTTTTTTTTTTGTTGTTGCTTTACATGTTGCTTCACATATTTTTTGCTTTGTATATATTTTTTTACGCACCACTTTAATGTATTTTAAAATACCTGTGGTTTGCTGATAAATAAATAAATAAATAAATAAAAATTAAAAAATAAACATTTTTTAAGATTTCAATTCCTTAAATGCAATTTTTGTATATTTTCAGTTCTCATCTCCCCCTTTGCCTATCCATTTTTAAATAATTTTAGTTTTAGTTGAAATTTCATTAAATTATAATAAATAGTTAAAAATGTTGGTATAAAATGTTATAAGGATAAATTTTAATTTTATCTCTCCTAAAAGTCCGCAATTAACATTTGCGGACAATTAGCATTTTTCGTTTCGGATATCGGATCCGGATACCCGAAGATTTCCAACTATCCGCCTAACCAAGCTATTCACGTATAAAAATAACAAAAAACAATTGAAGGGGATGAAACAATACAGTTGATTTCAATTTAATTCTTCCTCCTCGAATTTTATAAGAAACAAGACGTGAATCGTTGTCCTATAGCAGTGACTTCACGGTGTTACGACAGTTGCGGATACGCAAGTGCGGATGCGACAATTGCGGACTAAAAATTTTTTAAAAATTTTAAAAATGATTGGAATGATATTCCGTTTTTTTTTGTCCCGGCTGTCAGCTCCAGACTTCTGACGGTTACCGAATCATTTTTAGACAGATGTGGCACTGAAAACTCTAAAAAATCTTAAACTTTTTAAAAATTTTATATCCGCAATCGTCGCATCCGCACGTGCGTATCCGCAATTGTCGTACCGCCGACTTCACGAAACACGTGAATTCGCGAAAATTGGGAATGGGAAATTGTATTAGAGTATACCCTGTCGTGGTTAGGGTTGCCGTTTTCAAGTAGGACGGACGGCAGAGGCATTTTTTCGTGTTTGTTTTTACCGAGTCGTGCCTGTGCGAGTTTTTTCGGGCCAAATATCTTAGCCCGACTCGATCTTTCGGTCCCTTTTTGGGAACCCTACTCATGCGTAAAAGACACATTTAGTATATTTAAATCGAGTAAAATATTAATTTGTTTACTTCCACATCGTGATCTCTATTACGTCGGCTCAATTAGGTCCAGGAGTGGGCCGAGCTACCCGAAATCCGATACTCTGAGATTTTTTGACTCAAAATTCGAACCCCGATTTGAAGAAAATTTTGAAAACTCGACCCTATTTTTTCTCATCCCTGCCCGTCTCCGGTTCGGTCCCTAGCAGTACTGTCAGAAATTGAAAAAGAATTTTCCGCAAAAGCAAGACAAAAAGACATGCAATTTATGGAATCTGCAAGTCCCCTAGACTACCCCACCCGAGTCCCTAGATGTGACGCTATGTATTTATTACATAGACTTGGGCGTGACGGGATCCCAGATGGGGTAGGACGGGATTATCCCGGTTTGTTGAATCCCGATCCTGAGATTCTGCCAATCCCGTTCCGCATTCGGGACGTGGATCATTAATTCAAAATCCCGATTTTATCTCGGGATCTTGATCCCACCCAACCCTAATATTACACCGTATTTGAATACTTATTAAGAAAACAAAATATTTTTTTAACATTTTTTACTTTACAAATCAAATCAAAAAGAAAGTCAAATTAATAATAAATCCTCCTCTCTTCTCCCCACAATAAATATAATATTTTAATCCTTTCTCTCTTTCCCATTTTTTTCTCTTTTTTTATCAAATTTATTCTTTTTTCTCGCTAGGCAAGAGCGATCCCAAACGATATCCTTGACCAGAAAATGGCTTAGCCTTTGGAGGCACATAATCTGTCGATTTACGTTCAACACGCAAATCAACTTCACGCCCAGGATAAAGACTTGAAAGTTCTGTTGGAATTCTCCTTTAAAAATAAAAGAAAAGATGAGCATATTTTTAATTTTATAGACACAAGAAAAGGTCAAAAACCTGCTTCCGATTTTTTTGGTTTTTAACACTTGTGTATATTTTTTAGATGATAAATTGAGAGAAAGAATTTAAAAGGAGGAAATCAAAAAGGAAGATGAAAATATTACTCGGACATATGACTTTTAAGAAGAAGAAAAAAAGAGAAGAAAAAAGAAAAAATTTTTAGGAAAATTTTAAAATAAGGGGAGAAGAATATCTCCAAAAATTTAATTAAAATTCAAAAAATGAGAAAACAAATATTCAAAGAGAAAAAAAAATTCTTCTAGAATTTTAGATTTTTTTAATTATTGAGAAAATAAAATAGGCAACTAGAAACTAAAAGAAGAAGAAAAAATTTTTAGGCAGCGTAACCTTTTAGTTTTTTTTCAAAAATTAATAAAAAAAATATCTAAAATCCCTAAGAAAATTTTTTTCTCTTTGAATATTTTTTCAGGATTTTCCGAAATATTGATTCAATTGAAATTTTTTTCCAATTTTTCTCTTCAATTTTGAAAACGGCATTTTTTTAAATTCAAGAAATTAAAAAAATAAAAATTCTGTGCTAGTTAAATCTCCATTGGGTTTGGAACAGTTTAATTTCAAAAAAATTATTCGAGAAGCAGATTTCCGAGTTTTAATAGAAAAATTTTTTACTTGGAAGTAACAGCTTGAATAAAAGCCATATTTTGAGGATCACTAAATTGACGAAGAGGCCCATCATCCAACGAAAAACCATTACTCCAAATATACATTCTAACCTTAAAAATAAAAATTTGACTGAAATAAAAGTTCTAGGCTTGTAGCCAATGAATAATCAAACCCTATGTCTAATCCAAAAAAGTTAGATGACTGGACAGGACTCTTTCTTATTGTTAGGTACAGAAAACAACCAGACCCCAAAACAGGTCCGTAACCAGGATTAGTTTTCAGGGGGGCAAGGGGAGCTTTGAATTTTGAAGGCTATGAAGCCAGGTTAAGCAGGCGAAAAAGGCCCATAGCCTCCTGGCTCTTCGTAGCCCCCCCGGCCTAGAAAACCCTACCCTCTGGCTAAGGACCTGCCCTAAAAATGGTCAAGAAAGATTTATAAAGTCAACACATTTCAGTTTTTTTGGAAATTTAAAATTCCAGACCTAGAAAAGTTTTGTATGTAAACGTCGGAAAGTATTTAGCTTACAAAAAGGGTTAAAAATAACTTTTGAACTCTCCCTCCTTCCTAAGTAAAATTCAAAAAAATTCCAAACCACTTGTTGAGGAGGTCTATTCGAATTATTTCCAACATTTGTTGCAGCAGCAGCAGCAGTAGGCGCAACATTTCCACCCCCAATAGGCCCACTCTCAACTCCATTCCCTCCCAAACGGAAACCTCCAGAAAATCTGTTGGATGAATTCGAACCGCTTTGTTGTTGTCGACCAAGTGCTTCAACCTGTTCTGGAGTTAAACGTTCAGCTCCGGCACGTTGAATAGCATTGAAGAGGTGAGAATCCAGATCTCGACGGTTTGGACCGAGAACTTGTTGGCCACTTAAATTTTTGGAAAAAATTAGAAAATTTTTTCCAAATTTCGAAATTTTATTTAAAAAAGATTTTTTGTAAGATTTCAGTGGGAATTAAAAGACAGCCAAAAGGAACTCAAAAACCCTCAAAAAATCCTTTCAAAAAAATCGAGGCAAGTTTTTTAGTCTGCCAGTCTTACAGAGGCCAAGAAACCTCCCAGAATGTGGACAAGAAGTAGAAGGTGACATTTGATCCCAAACTTGATATATAAGTGTTTCACCGGAAAAACGAAATTTTCATTTCCGGTGAACCGGACCTAATTTGAATTTCGGATCCCGAAACCAAAAAACGTCGGAACTTCCGGTGAAGCTCTAATAAATACCCAAGAAAATTATTTGTAGAATGTCAATGGGTAATCAAAGGATACCAAAAAATAAGGCAAATCCCAGAGCGTAGACAGAAAATAGAAGGTGACATTTGATCCCAAACTTGATATCTAACCAAGAAAACTTTATTAGAATGTCAATGGGCAATCGAAAAGTAATGAAAAAATAAGGCAAATCGTTCAACAAAAATCAATCAGTCAATTTCTTAAAGACCTAAAACACACCTAAACACAAATAGAATTAACGGAAATTAACCCAGCCCTAAAGCCATGCTCCAAAACCCTCCACAAAACTCCCTAAACAAAAATTTAAAACAAAGAAACCTCCGAACACTTCCCCCAACAAAGAATCCTTGTCTATCCTCATCTTCATTAGCACTATCACTACCCGAATGAGAATGTCTGGGAGGTCTGTCGTCATCGTCGGCGTTTAAACCGTGAATGCTTTAAAAATAAAATTTAAATTGATTAAATGAAAGTTGAAATACTTTGACATATTGAGCTTTGTTTGAAGATTATTTATTAAAGAAATACTCGTCACCTTGAAAAAACAAAAAATGTAATCAAAAAAAATTAAAAAATAATTAAAAAATTTTCTTTATTTAATGAATTAGAGACTGAAATAATTAAATAGCATTAAAATTAGAGAAAAATAGAAAAAATTTAAAAAACATTATGCCAAAAATAATTAATTTTAAATTACAAATACTTATTTTAAATAAGAAACCGGCAAAATGGGGTACGGCCCAAGTAGGCGCGCGGCCAAGTAGGCGCAAAGTCATAACTTGCTTCAAACTTTCCGAATCTTATTAAATTTGGTATTAAACGATTCCTCTCATCGAGCTAAAGAGATTGGTACCAAAATTGTTAAGGTCCATAAATTTTTCAGGTAGTTATGGCTTTGCGCCTACTTGGCCGCGCGCCTACTTGGGCGTGTCCCCGGCAAACTGGTGCCGTGTAATTTCGACAGAAGTGAATTGGGCAGTGAGTTAATTAGGCACTAACTGTTATTTGTGTCTTGAACTTAAAAATTTTCAAAAATAGATAGGTGATTGTGGACCCAGAGACGTGTTTAGCTACCCTTCTCTTTTCGTTAAATTTTATTGCAATGCTAATTTGTCCTTATAGTTATTCATTTTTTTTAAATTCAATTAAAATATACTTAACGCCGAGATTACGCATAATTATTCTTCTAGTGATACTCGAATTGTTTTTGCGTGAAAGAAAATTTTTTAAAAAACGTTTACTGCCTAAATCACTCACTGCCTAAATCATTCACTGGCGAAATCACCAAACACGGGCAGAATGTTGTTTGCGGGCAGGAAACCGGATTTTGGATTTCACACTCATGCCGGACCCGGCCGGATTTTTCCGGATTAATCCGGTCCGGGTTATGGCTTTGCGCCTACTTGGCCGCACGCCTGTCATACCAGGGCTGGGCGAAATCTAAAAATAAAAAGCGAAACTTTTCGCGCCAAAAAATGCAAGAATGCGAAAGATGCGAAACGCGAAAGTGCGAAATAAGCCCAGCCCTGTGCCATACCCATTTTAAATATTGCACGGCGCCAGACGGGATCTGGCATAATAGTGTTTTTCAAGAATCGACATCCAAAAATCTCGAAACAAAATTTTAAGATATCCTTTAATTTATTGTGGATTTATTTTTAAACGATTAAAAATAGCATTTCGATATGGAGTGTTTGTTAAAATACAAATAATCGGGTTAAATATGGGTGTTAAATGAAAGGAAATGTGAATTAATATTCGAATAATATTTGTTGTATTGTTGGTTGTTTTTGAGTAAATTATAAAAAATAAAAGTCCAGCTTGGTTTACAAATGGGACAACAGCCTAAAAATTTTTGAGAATCTTTGATTTGATCTTGATTTTTTTCTTGATTTTGATCTTGATTTTTTTGAGAATCTCGTATCTCGTGTCTCGTATTTTGTGGGACTCGGCCCACCCCTGCAGTGTATGTTACATGAAATACGAGACACCCGATTCACAAGATACGAGATTACCGCCACCCCTGGTATGTAAGGACGATTCACTTAGCAACATTTAAACGCTCAGACGAGGGAAAAGAGAAAACATGAGTCAATGCCCCGGTAAATCAGTGGTAGAGTTCCTATGTATGGTTGGCGAAAGTGCCTAACAATAACTACGAGGAGGTCGCATTTTCGAATCCTGCCCGGTCGTTAAACTTTTGTAAAACTGGTACTTTTATTCTGTTGGAGAGATTTTTAATTGAAAATATTTTTCTACATATACTAGGTATGTATTTTCTACCTATATGTAAGTAGAAAATACAAAATTTTTCTATCTACTATATGTAATTCAAGAAAATATATTAGAACTTTTAAAATTCTTACCAAAATAATCAAAACTTTTGTTAAAAGTTTATTCAATCTTTTTAATTTTTCATCGAAATTATTGTTTAAATTGACATATCTAACCATTTTGAATCCACAAATAATTATTATTAAATATGAAAATATTTCAATCAAGGCTATAGGTAATTGTGATACAATATTCATCTAATATTTAAGTTTAAAATTTTTCGGTAAGAGTGCGGGCATAATGGGTGATGAGCAGAGGCATTCATTGGAATAAGACTTTGCTATAATAATTGGGACGAGTACGAATTTTGGTGAGCTTATGAACACTGTGAATGACTGATGGATTGTTATTTGTTGCCTAGCCAGCAGGGATGGTCAGAATTTTGATTTCCTCTTCCGCCGTTTTTTTCTTCAGCTTTCCGAAAATTTGGGGTGATTTCCAGCTTTTGAACCATTTCCGATTTCCGAAAGTTCCAATTTCCGGTACCTCGGCACCTTCATAATTTTCGATTCAACTCTTGCTGGACAGCACGTAGAGTAGTTGTACCATTTAGTAATTAAGTGCTGCCATAGGAAATATAAATATCGAAATGAGGGAATTATTAAAGTGAATCCTAGTGGAAAAACTCTGCTCCCACCGCACATAATTAAAAATTACTTTTTCCATTTTATATTGAATAAATGGCCATGTTTCGTTAAAATTTTCAAAATATTTAATGCCTCCATTAGAATATGGCAAAATAAATAAAATTATATCCAAAACATAAAATAATGACACAAATGAAGCAATCGACACCATAAATAGATAACGGCGAAAATTAATTTTTATATCCCTAATAATTATAGGTCAGATTTTGGCTCTTGTCCAGTTTATGAATCTAATCAAAAGAAAATTGGATTTTTTTTATATTTTGAAGTTGTGTTGGGTTCTTTAACATTTATTCATGTTCGGGACCTACGCCCACTGCGTCTGCCCTATCCTTCGAAATTTCGGAAAGTTATAATTTTTTACGAAATTTTTAAAAATTGGCTACAACTTTCAGAAATTTCGAGGGATAGGGCAAGGAACGGGCCCAGACCCAGTTGGCGTAGATCCCGAACATGAATAAATGTTAAAGAACCCAACCCCAACTTCAAAATATAAAGAAAAATCCAATTTTCTTTTGATTGGACGCATAAACTTTCATTGGACGCGCATAAACTGGACAAGAGCCCAGATTTTTAGGTACAACTAAGGTCATTTTTACAAGCTATTTAGATGTCTATTTCAAGACTTTTACAACATAAAAATCCGATCCCTACTGATAATAAACACATTTAATATTTTTATTAGTGATCGGAAATTTTAAAAAACCTTGACTCTTGATTTTGGTTGAAAAGACTTGGCCGAAACTTTTATCAAGGAAAGATCAAGATCAAGAAAGAATCAAGGTCAAGGAAAAATCAAGAAACACCGAATGATACCTTGATTTTGACTCTGGATAGGGGTGTGCAGTTTCGCCTTTCACCTTTCGCCAAAATTTCGCCTTTTTTATTGACTTGCGCTTTTGTTTTTTAAAATCTATTTTGGCACCCCTACTTTGTATCCAGAAAATTTACCTATTCAAAACTAAATATCTATAAATAAATTGAACACACAATCCATGCAAATTTAAATGAGAAATAAATAGCCAAAACACAAAAACAATATGGCATATTATTGGATTAAAATTTTCCTTCATAAACCATAACAAAATTCCATTAGTTAAAATTGTAATTGAATTCCCTTCTGTATCAAGTATATAAAACTGTAAATAATTATAGAATTGAGTTGATAGTTTAAGGCTTATAGTAGCTAAAGATGTGTAAGGGGTAGGGTTATATGACATCAGTTCGGTCAACTGGAAATGGTGCTCGCTACCAGCCGCCTAGCATTTTTCATTAGTTGAGGGAGAAATAGCTAGCTTAATTTAACTTTGTTCTTACAGTGAGGTCCAACTCTATTGGAGAAAACGCAAGCTAAATACAATATTATGTTTCAGTATATTAGAGGATTTCCTTGGATTATGTTGGATTTGGAGGCTCCATTATGTAGGAACCCTATGCCTGGAGCGCCAGCCAGCCCTATGAGTAGAACAAGCAGCCCAGCTTCGTTTTACTATATCAGGGGATTTTACTCGAATCCTCCCATTATCTCTCTTAATCCATCCAAATCCCTTGTTGAATATTAACCTTTGACACGCTCAGAGTCCTGAGCCAACCTGCTCCTAATATCACCGGCTTCGGACCCTTTATTTGAAAAGGTCCGAGCCGTGGAGGAAATTCCGATATCATAAAAGGTCCGAGCCGTTGGTTCTATTTATTTCTAAAAATTCTGATAATTACCGCCTGAACAAATAGTTGACAAGTCAACATTAAAATATCCAAAACACAATTCTGTATCAAAATTCGACTGTGTGTTTTCATTTCTTTTGGCGTTTTAAATAAAATTAAAATAATCAGAATAATATTTAAAGGATACCCAATTAATAAACAAACAAAATAATTAAATTTAAATAAAATATTGAGTAAATCTGGCATTTTTTTAATTAAAAAATTTTTTATTTGAAAGAATTTTCTAATATTTAACAGTTTTGCTGGTAACTAGGCATTTATTTATTAACGTAAAATGAAAATATTTTCGATACATATGTGTATAATCATTGGGTGAAGAGAAAATTACTAATTATAGTATGTTGAAACTTCATATCCAATTAGGCGAAAATGCCAAATTTGTAGCTTCAAACTAAATTTGAAAATGAATATGTATGATTTTGTTTACGACACAAATTTGCTTAAAAATTTTTTTATTTTTGGAATTTTAATTTTTATTTTCGATAATTTTTTAATAAAAATTATTTTAGGTAAGTTCTGTTTATAATTGCCAGTTTACTATATTTATTTACGTAGAATATAATCTCTCGCTCCAAAAAAAAAAGGGAGAAAGAAGCTGGAGAGAAAGCGAGTATTTTTATTTTATTTTTTTCTATTTTTTCTCTCCAGTCCAGACTAGAGACTGGCCGAGACAAGATTTTGATCGAAAATCTCGGTTATCGAGATCAAGGAATCATTTAATACTAAATTTGGAAAGATTCGGAAATCTTAAAGCAAGTTATGGCTTGGCGTCCTTATGGCCGCG